TGTGTGTCAGGAAAAAAGCGATGTAGAGTAACCTAATGTAACGTAAACAAAACAATCTATCTGCAGGACCTACTTGCCAATTTGGCTAAATTACTAGAATCAGTAAAATATACAGCAGCGGGTCAATAGCTTTGCCCAAACGAGCCAATGAGTTTCGATTAACGCATTCAGATGCATACAAATAGTAATCATGTTACTATACTGGTTGACGAGGCCTTGACGTTTTATCCCTGAAAGACGTCCACAGATTGGCAAGACGGAACGCCGGCTAAAAATTATGGAGTTATTGGCAGGATTTTTTTCAAAGTGGGATTCAAATCATCATTTGTCCAACGCTATGGGACGTCGATCTTTAACAAAGATACGTGGTTGTGTACGATGATAGTAATAATTTATAATAACTTGTCTGAAACAATGCGAATTTTCGTTCACATTGCTAGTTAGCTGTGCTCGACCAAGGTATCTTCGTACATTGATATACAGTAAGTAACAGACTGGGCTTTTTCCTTCAGTGGGCACTTGTATAATCCTGATGGGCACAAAGGACACTATTGGTATGTTCCTGTTATTTAGCTAAACGGCTAAATTTAATACACTTAATCTCAAAATAACGATCCGCCATTTCGTTTATGGCTTGACGCCGTCAGGTTACTTGATACAGTTTTCTGGGCTCGATATCATCTGGAAAGTCTTAAAATATCCCGTTCCAATGTAAGTTCTACAGTGTTATGACTGTCATTGCAGAGCACTTACCTTTTTTGCTACCTTACTGTAGTATAGATTGTTTGCTTTAGTTAAATGATCAAATAATGCTTTTTCATGTTTACGTTCGGCATTGTTTTCCTCGTTGCTATCACAACGGCGCTCACCTCTATCACCTTTTGCCTTTTTAACAGAAGTATCATAGAAACTGATGCTCGAAGTTAAATATTGTCATATCGCTGGATACAACGGCTCGGCTGATACAGAAACGAGCGGCTGAAAATTGTCGATCGAGTTTCCGATGAACGAGACAGCAACCGGCATACAGTGAGTGACTGAATAGCACTGATGTACCGATAGCACATCGGCAGGACGAACAATGTATAGAAGAAGCAGGCAAAGAGTATATATATATATATGTATACTCTTTGTTCTGTACAGACAGCACATAGAACATTGACAATCATCACAAAGCCGTTATAAAAGTCAGCACCACATTACCCCATCGATAATGATCATGCGCCGCCGCGATTAGCGACAAACGGCATCGCCGCATCACGAAACAGCAGCAGCAATCCGAGACAGCTTTTACGTCTTTGAAGGTGGCTGGTGATGAGCGTGTTAGCAGAGGGCATAAACAATAACAGGGGCGACTGCCGGTAACACGGTTTGCGTATCGAAGTTATCAAATACCCAGAGGATGGCCCAGGGGTTCGATTCTCTGTTTACCTAACGCACAAAATTGACACGTATCATCTGACAAGTGATGTTTTACTATGATATAGTGCTCATACGCATATATATTGTATGCATATATATATATATTGTCATATATAGTAGCCCTTCTTGGAGAGGCAATAGATATGAAACCGTGCCATGCTTAGATGCATTGTGTCAATTATAATCAATCATAATCAATGTCTCAGCCTATATTAATATTATTGCGAATATTTGTGGACTACGGCATATTATACACAAACAGACCTATCTGGGTTGTCTATAGGCAATTACGATTTCGTCTGATATATTGCATTTTTTGCGATTCATCTGTTTCTTAACAAGAACTTGAGAAACGGTGAAACTTGGGTCGTAAATTAGAACCTTCGTGTTGACGATCCGTTCTTTTTATTCTAAGTTGCTTACTCGATCTCAAACTTTTTCTTGTAGTTTTATGGCTAATATTTGTACGTCAGCCAAACGTTTCATTTCTCGGAAGCGCCCGGGTAATCGCCACAAAGTTTACGAACGGCAAGGAAACAGGCAACGAGTCTTAACTTGCAAATGATTTTCGCAGGGTTAGTGAACGATAACGGATCGATAACACGGCACATTTTTACTCGTATATCTGTACACTTATACCAAATAAAGATACATTCGATATCAACTAGTAGATTACAGGGTATATATCCTTCCAGTACGTCAAGAGTACGTAATGAGTCTTAGATTACGTTGTATAGAAACTTGGAATCTATCCGAATGAGTATCCCGCTTCATCTTCTAGTTTACATTTTTAGTCGTATGCTTATTCTGTGCACGCAAATAAAGGCCAATTTTTACCTAAGAATCAAACGTTTTACTCAATTTCTTTCATTGCAAACCTTTCCTTTCCATAGGTGAGGCTGTTCTGGCAACATCGACTGCTAAGTCATTGCGGTGCTAATCATTTATTCAACGGTGTTTTTATGCAAATTTGTTTCGTATGCCTGACAGATACAAAATAATTGTAAGCTCTTATACGTGGTACACGGATGCTTCTAGCTTCCAACACAAAAAGACTCGGACTGACTATAGCTATTTTAACTTTATGAGCAAGACGGCAGTCCAACGAATGAGCTACTGCATTTCATCTGGTTTTCAAGTTTGAATCATGTTTAGCGGGTTCGGCAACCTTCGTATGTTCGGGTCGGCCTCCATTCAAATTCGTATTTAGAACGATGTGTCCTAAATATTGCGTTTTTTCGCTCGTATAATTCATTTGGTTGCAGTCCATATAAACTTATGCTTTAAACAGACATTCTTTCAAATAATAACCAGACACGAATCGAATCCCTTGTCAAGCATCAAAAAACCAGTCAATAGATTGTATCTAACCATCTAAAGGACTTCTATTTAATATATTTTGAACTGCAAGGGGACGCGCGTACATTCCGTGGCCATTATAAATAACGAGGAATGACCGATTTTTCAAAATCAGCGCAGGACACATACATTCTGCACGTAATCTCCAATGTCATCCGTTTGTGGCGCGATATCTGTTTGGCAAATATCCCATTAATATGCATAATCATGCTAGTAAACAGTGCCGCTAAAGGTCATATTTTGAATATTTAATAGTGAAGAGAGGGGCAACACTCGCTGACTGAATCCCAAGTGATGTAGTCAACTGTATGTAAAAAATTTAATTGGGCTCGTTTGCCCATGCCATCTCCGCTCTGCAATGAACGAATGACCTATAAAGTGCATTTGTTAGGTAGGATACTCTACATTTCAGCCACACTTGACCTAATCACTAAGTACGTAGAACTGATTTATATAAACTATCAAGGAATAAGGCCTCCTGAATAGTGTTAATAGATATTATTTACAACTTAAAAGTTTAGAACACTGTAGAGCATTAGGCTGTGCCTAGTCATTTTTATAACGTATTAGACTGATTCAAGCTGTAGCACAGCGGTTTGCTAAAATTTTTCCTTCTGACATAGTCCACCACACGACAAAATGGCACCATGACAAATTTATTTAAAATAATATCAGTCTGATAAAATATTATTTATATTTTCCATGATGAAGTTGACTAACGCCATGAAACAGACGCTTACAGCTTTACCTATAGCTGATAGGCTCCAGCGCCGGCTACATATCGATATTATCGACGATCTTTGGGACTAATTCTGAGTATATGTATTATTCGTAGAAAACGCAACGACGTTAATGTAGGCTAAATAACGTGCCTACACGTTATGACACAATCATTAACAGCAGACGCCAAGATTACTAGGATGGCGGTTAAATTTGAATTCGCTGATACCAGATTCATAGATGCCAAGTATCTATCTAAGCGTTCAAGCAGGCAGTTTGTCATACGCATAAACGGTAGTACCTTATATCGACTATGTCCTTTATGTATGTATGTATGTATTACTACCGTAGATACATACTTGAAAAATTTAATTATCATGTCGAAAACATACGATATTTCGAAAGGTTCGTACAGCACAAACTCGAAATTGCATGAACGCACTCGAAACGCATTAACATTGCAAGAACGCGATCTTGTAATCATATGGGTGCAAATATCATTACTCTTTTTCAGTTGCCTTCGAACAGGCGCATATCTACTGTGGGTGATAACATAGTATTTGCCTGTTTATCTTTTAAGGACACATTGCGATCTGAGCTTAACTCCGGACATAGATAGGCCTCGTTTTATGCTTGGAGCCAGCCGTCTGATGGAATATCTAACGGCGACACGGTTCATAGAAGCCGAGATGCATATTTATTAGCTTTTATTATTCGCTGTGAAATGCGATCTGAATATTTGTGCAGAAATGATTATGGCACGTATGTCTCAGACTTACAATGCCGCGTGGTCATTATCTGATGAGCAAAGTATCTAGGTCCGGCACCATTAGAACAGAAAGTGGTCAAAATTATATGAAACAATTACAAAACGCTAGTTTCATGATCCTGGGATTTTTGTTAGCTGTTTTCAAGGGCTAACATTGAGGTCTCTCAAACAATTTCGTATAATTATTTTCAAATGCCTAGTAACAGAAATATATTAAAGGCAAAGGTCTTAGAAGGCCGTCGTCAAAAACGGCAAGATTTGCTTTGTGCTTCATAGAACTACGTCACCTTTGTTTATTCAGTACTTGATTTAATAGAGAGGATTACAGTCATTCATGTCGTGTCCAAACTGTTGCATTATTATTATTATTATTAAAAGTATGTCGTTATGTCAGTGTTACAGTGTATTTAGAAGTACTGCTAGTAAAACCAATTGTATAAGTAGTGTGAATATCTATCGTAACGCAGCAGGAGCTTCTGATTTATTTATAAAAGGAAAATCGGCAATTTTCATTATTGTCCTAATGATCAACTAATACAAGCCGACAATCGGCATGCTTCATTATTAATTCATTCTCTAATTTAGAATATCGAATCGTTTACACGATTAGGGCTACTTTAAGTATGTGGCAATGGTAGCCATGATCATGGGACCATTGCGACCAGAAAGAAATATACAATACAGGTTTGCATTGCTTTTATTACTCTTAAGTCACAACATCATTTGAAAGCGTACATCTCGTTGGCGTTAACACAAATATTGATATGGTATAAGTTAATAGCAAAAAAAAAGAAACATGCACTTGGAAAATTATTTTTGTAGAACAGGCAAATCCAAACCTCAAAAGTCTGCTTTGAATGTGTTGTCACGGGCTGGGAAACATTCAGAAGCGTCGGAAGCCTGCAGTGCCATGTGTGGCTAAGTAGTACCGTCTTGTCTAAAAGTATTCGCTCGCTCGTTATGCGTACAGATAATAAAAACAAAAACTGCAATGCAGAAATAAACACCATAAATAAATGTTCTTATAAACATCAATACCTATCTGCCGTTTTCACGTTTTTTTTTTTCATTTTCTCAAACGCCTGCCACTAAGGGAAAATAATGACTTGATCTGAAATACGGTCCAGCTGCATGATAACTTGATTTGCGCAGATTAATTGTCCGCGCGCCATAAAATCGAATGTCTTCAGTCTTCTTCTGCCACTACTATGTGCCCTTATATCGTTGCTGCGTAAATTGTGTGAAATTACGCGTTGTTCATCAATTGCACAGCAGTGGCGAAGCAGGTACGACGCGAAAATAAAGCAAATAAGAAGAATTTCTCTATTATTCTATCTTTGTTGTCAGTATATTTATATTACATGTATGCATTTTTGCGTCTGACAGAGACGATAAAAGTGAAACTTGTTTCGATTACTTCAGTACGCTGCCTTGCTAATATTTGATACATTTACGCTTTATTAATTAGAGATAATCGAACTACAGCTTTGGCGTATCAGTGGACGACTAGATCTCATAATTGTTAGTTAATCAGTTGAAGATTTCCCTAAAAGCAGATGTACTAAAAAATATAACTTTAGGCAGAATGTTGTATTATTATCTAGTTTCAATGATTTCATTATTTAAGCATTTTTTACATAATTCAAAATTGAATTTTTGACAGTTATTTTGCGTGCAGCCGAACTGCTTCGGACTCTTCCGGCCGATCATTTTCAGCATGAGTTGATTTAGTGAGCTTGCTTATTGCCTAAATGCGAGTGATACTTCAAGATGCAGAGAAGCTGGTGCCGCAAGCAAATGCTAGCTCATTGTTAAAAAGTAGGAAAAAAAAAGAGACATTTTTACTCTGGAACGTACCTGTTGTAGGGCAAAGTATCTCTACACGTATTATCCATTTTATACCATGTTTCAACACTATCAAGAAAGGATAGACTGGCGTAGAGCGTTGTTGCAACACTGTAGGCAAATGGGTCTCCGTTTGGCCAATGCCTACGAGGGGTTATTTAGGGCTAAAAGCACGAAAATAAAAAAAAAAACGAAGAAACATTTGAAGTGATGTCATTGATATTTATTTGTGACATATTTTGAACGATTTCAAAATTCTGTCATGCTAACTAATTGAATCAGGATCGAACGATGCTTTCGTCTGAGATCGTATTGAATTAAAATTTATCGCGTTCTGTCTACTAAACGAAAAAATGCACAAACAAAAAGTGTGCACGTAACGACAAGTGGCATTATCTTACGGGAGTTAGAGATATTCGCCCCTGCCTTAATTTTTCCTATCCACTGCTAAATTTAGAGAGCAAACGAAAATGTATGCTTTGTGTTGAGCAGTACGGTCTGAAGTCCATACAGAATATTAAATGTAAGTAGAACACTGCTGACGGCGAGGTAACGCGACGTCACAGGAGTATAACACAATTTTCCAAATGTTTACAGAAATGTTCTCCATTTTGCAACCTATGTGTGGTATGGTGGGTTACCCGAATGGCTATCGCAAGCAGTGCTGGGCTCCTTAGCCTATAATAATTCGGAATGCGTATTTAACGAAAGCTTCTTGTCCTTTTTGAAACAGGGTTAATCAACTTTGTTGAAAAACAGATCCCACAGTACTAGCTTTATGCCAAAGGGCCTAACCCGTATTCAAAGTTTTATTTACTACTGATTCCAATAATCGAGATACTCATTGTGATATTATACTGACAGACAAAACTTTTAAATAGAATCAATAGTTTTCTATATAGAAATGTTCCATGGTAACTTCTCCGTCGGTACAACAATGCATACAGAAAGTGCTTATTTACTAGATCGAATTCTCCCGGACCTCTAGGCTGTTCTCCGGGGTTGTATGGATCTCGTATATATTCAATAATATAGAGTTTGCTTTCGGCGGCTATAGACCTTGTGGCAGCAGGACGGCAACCTTACACTGTGTACAGGTCACTTGCCTGTTGATTTCATGTGAAATAGGTTCTGCAAATATCGACGTTGTTTCCATCCAAGTTAGGCCTAGGAAGTATTATAACTACAAGCAGCTGCACTGATCGGACGAACAGCATCGTACTGTTAGGGGTAACTGGTCCAACGGCCGTCAATGATTATAGCCTTATAGACACATGGACACATCACTGCTTTTAGTCATATCGCTACATGGATAACAATATGAAATATGGCAATCTGTACATTAATTCGAATATGAGTGAACTAGTCACACACAAAGATAAGACGAAATAGTTTGGTCTTACAGGCTAGTTAATTACGTCCCTCTCTGTATGTATCTCTTGTAAGCAGTGGCCATAGAACACTGGATCGTCATCTTCGAGCATCTTCATGTAGATGTTGCCCCTTCGGCATCATAGTGTATAGACACACGAAAGATGCAGAGACGGTTCATTTGAACGCGTTAATCGATCACTGTTGAGATCAGCGGATAGCAAAACTGCAATTCAAATGCTATCGACCGACAGCACCAGAGGGGATCAGCCACAAAAAACATGCGAAAGACGTTACGATTCGATCAAAAAACGCCCATTTTTCTGAGAAGTTATTTGTAGAACTCCATCTATGTTTACAAATCTATTAATCAACTGCTTTTATTCTTCTTAAAACTATTTTCAGTGTTATTAAAGTGATAAAAATAATATAGCTATGGCGCAAACATTCATTAGGAGCGCAATGTTTTGCAGTCAGCTAAGTGTCGGAATGCCCCACGTGGCGGTCACACAAACCTCACAGCATAACGTAAGCAGAAATATTTTCTGTTCTCTATTTAGAAAATATAGCAAACATACGCAATAGATAGCAGAAAATACCGAGAATTATCAACTAAAGTAGCAACACCGGTTCGACGTTTGTTGAACCTAAAATCATTTGACGCCATATCGGTAGTTCGTAAAAGGGAAAGGATTAAATGCCCCGATTGAGGATTTGTTCGAAAATTCGTACTTTTCGAAAAAGCCGGCTGGAAAAAAGAAAAACGCGATTCAGTTTTCTGCTTCTGCATGAGACGAATAAAATTAAAAATTACGTTAACCTTGACTATAATCAACATTGCGTTAAGCATATGACAAACGTATTTATCGAAAACTCTCTTATCTCTTGTCTGGCCGTAATCCTATCTAATAGAAAACGGTAGATCTACACTATAACTGTATGAGTTCAGTAAAATACTATTATCATTAGGATAGTTTTTTAAAGGAACTGTAGCAACTGAGGTAGTTCAGGAGATCTTTTCCAGTGTCCTAAAAATCTACATGGCAGCACAAGTTGCTACCTTTGGAGTAAACGTTTTTCGTTATCCCTTACAGCTGCTTCCCGGACTGTAGAAGTTTTATGACGATAAAACAAATGGAGGATCATTGCGAATTGTGATCACTGACAAAGGTACCATTCAGACCACGGTCAGCATAAGTTAAAGCAACGAATAATATAACCAGAACAAATTCGAAGACTCATTTGGTAAATATTTACTGATCCCAAATGATGCTCATCCAGTACCATACTAATGCACTCAGACTTTACGGGATGCTTGTACAATTCAGCGGAGTGTATCTTTTGCCATATGCCCCGTCCTTTGAAAAATATTGAAAGCTCACACGGAATAAATCTGATGGGCTTCATTTACAATAAATAGTAATAATAACTTTGTTGACACAGGATAATAGATCATAGTTTTTGTTGTTATTACTATTATTTTACTGTACGATGAACTACTATTCTAAATTTTCATTTCGGGTAACTTTGACCTAAATAGTCGATTATTGACATATGAATCAGAAATGATAATGTAATTGTCGTAAAATTTATTAGGTCATAGCAAGTTCTTATCATATCCGGCGAATGCGGAAAATAACAGCCTACCGGCCCAGCCACACCGATGTTCCGAGACCATCGGTGTGGCTGGGCCGGTGGCTTTTTGCAAGCTAAGAAAACGAAACGACGGGATCGCGCTACGTCGGTTACGTAGTCTCAGCTGCTGCATCGTGGGCTAGGCACGCACATGAGCAGACAGTAAAAAGCGGCGAAAACGCTTCTCCCACTTATCTCTTCATTGACAATTGTAGGGCAGTATCGCATGCACGAGGGTAATCGCTCGAAATTGTCGAACAATAACGCTACCGATTTCATGTTGCAAATGAAGTAACAACAAGAGCGCGTTCTTTGGTATTATAACCCTATATGTTTCGAGTTTTCCTTCCGGTATCGCCGTTTGGCGTACCGTAAGGCTGGCTTCCACCGCGAAGCGAAACTCTGTCTGTGCTGGGATTCGAACCTATACCACAACGTCCCCTAAGATTACCAGGCAGATACTTTAAGTTATGGACTTCGTGTTAATACCCACAGTAGTTGGACCTACGCCAACCGCTTTCGCGTAGTGAAACTTGAAAGACTAAATATTGACAATAATGAAAGGAGCTTAATTTTCGACAAATATACTGCATGTACCGTACGAGGTCTAGAGTACTCAGCTGTAATAAATCGACTGCGTGGTCCCTGTATTTGTCTCTGAGAAGGTTCCTATTAAAACATATGTATTGGACTGTCAAATATTCGGAGCTCAACTTTTGGTAGATGTCAACGTTGACACCTTTAAAAAGGCTGATTTTAGTGCCAAAAATGGGAGTTACGTATCAACTTGTATTGGACAACCTAAATATCGCAACTATGCTTTACTTGCGCGTGTTGTCATTTAGTAAAGCATAATTTTCGGAATATAAACGGGTCCAATATTTTGTGCGTCATTGCAGCGGAGGGCTAACGACACCTGATCTGACAGTGTGATCCGTCACTGATTATATTACATTGCACTTGTCAGACTGCTATTAAAAATGAAGGCAGTTGATACCTATCTGGAATGTTTCGCTTGTATCACTATTAAGCAAAAGCGAATTTTCGTTTCTCAGTAACTGTTTGAACGATAGATATTTGATGATGCTTCATTTAGACGTAGAGTTGAACGACACGACTGGGAAAAAGCAGTATCGTACGAATATTGATGATGACGCCATTCAAGTGTTCCCATTTAATCATCTTTAAAGAGTCGGGAATATTCTACCCGCAAGCATTGGCAATCGAGTTTCTCCTTATTCTGTCCGCACATCGTAGGTTTTCTAACATTAGATATTCCATATATATATATATATATAGAAAGATAACGTCGTCGTCACTGATTTCCTATTACCAGACTCATTAAATAACTAGGCTAACGGATACACTAAACCTTTCTCGTACAGGCGAGCAAACGCAAATGTTTGCCCATTAGTTGTTCATTTTTCGCTGTAGTGCTGCCTTACCTCAGAATTTCGTATATTGGTCCTATGGGTTACTTCTCGTTTAGGTTTCACGTCCGCTATCGCCGTTTGGCATTGTTCTATCAGACGGATGCCTGGTTGACTGGCTGCCAGCAGAAGAGGTACTGTCTGTCTATAGCCAGGCTTGTGGTTATTTTTCCCAATAGGCTTACAGCGTTATCGGAACAAACATCTGTATTTTCGTTCAACTATCGGACTGTGCAACAGCTTCTTCTATGCGCTTGATCAGCATTGTCATGTGCGTGCACGCGTCGTTGTTACCTGCCTCATAATCAAGAAGCATACATGACGATGACTATTCTGCGATGGACGTCACTGATCTCTTTTAAGTAGGCGCCTATCTTGCGCCAATATGGGTTTAGTTGGTCCGTCTTGAGTAATAATAAAAAAAGGTTTGCGGAAACAAGGTTTATAGCTACAACAGATGTTTTCAGGATCAGGTCCTGCTGGTATTCAATTAATCAAAATGCTTTATTTGGACAGTCGAAATCGTACGTGCCGATAGTAGGAGTCCCACTTACGCGTAGGAGGGTTTCCTGACTGTCAACATACGTGTGTGAGTTTATAACTTTACATAATGGTAAATAGAAATAAGTGCTCTCAATGACGTATTCGTTATGTGACAATGCAGAAATGCCCAAATTGTCATTTCATAGCGTTAAGGCGCGTAAGTTCCGAACGAAGACATACGCAACTTATGACTTGATCAGTAATTTGCTTCCGATCCTATGAAGAGTACCAAAATGAACCGAATATTCACAGTACTAAGATGACTCCACACTGTAATTGGTATGCCCAAATATATAATTATAATCCGAATTAAGTCAATTTGTCGAATTACAGTAACATCGTACAATAAAACGGATTAGAAAATTTGATAGGGCTGAAAATCAGGACGACATGTTCTTCATTTGATATGTGGTCCCCAATTCTGTTTTACATTCTGCTGGTGGTTGTATGGTGAAGGTATACGTCTTTAAACATTGTTCTAAAATTATGCTAACACACGCTCCCGGAAGGCTAACAACTGTGAAACAAAGACACGGTCTGAATGAAAAGGTAATATATACCCCGTACCGCTCTAGTTTCCAAGTATAACAGGGGTTCCTTCAATCGACGGCTTTCCAGGGCAGGAGCCGCCGCACTTCTTCATTAAAAACTACAAACGGTTAAGTCACTTCAAAGTATAGTGGTATTAAAGGCACATCGAAGAAAAAATAATTAAAAAATCAGTTTCAAAGCTATATTATACAAAGTTGTTCATACATGAAAAAAATTGTGGTATCACCCCTTTAAATGTTGCCTCTTTAACTTTGTTAAAGGGTTCATTTCTAAAGAAAAGGTTTGCCGCATCATTATGCGGCGACAAGTACCGTTCACTAGTTAGATATAAAACGCTACGCTTACAAATGCTATTGCACATATTGTGTACCATCCCGTAGTCACTATTCAAGATAACTAAATATCTTACTCTTCTCTATCAGTCGATATGATGGAAGCCAAAAATATTGTGAAATACGTTTCCCAGCAGCAACTAACCTCTGTAAGTATATCAGGTCAGATATTTAACAGATATGCATGAAAGACATGCCCCAGGCTTTTTCTAATTGCGTAACTATGGATGTCGACTAACAGTATTAACTTAAGTATATGTAAGCCATTAGATCTCTTCGATTGGTTGCACTCAAGGGAAACCCTGGGCCGGCCACAGTTCGGAAGACTATTTGATGCGTATCCTGTTCTTCGTACTGCCTAATAAATATCGGAATCTGTGCGCGCTATTTCTGTAGTTTATCATATAAAGCATTAAAACTAATGGAGATGGATACCCTTCACGTTTCAATATTAGGCGCGAAACGAATTTCGCTCCTTGAACCGTCGCGCCTAAAAATAGTAGCCCGTAGCCCCATTAAAGGATATGAGATAATGTTTATAAAATGTAAACTTGATATACAATAACTTCCTAGTGCAAACGTTAACTTAATAAGTTAATGTAACAGGTATACATTGAATCTGCGGAAGCTCTATGCTCTCCTTAGCGAAACTGATATTGTGGTTTAGCGTTTATGATTATCTCGCAAGACAAACAAATGCTTCCTGACATTCAGTATCATTTACCTTGAGGCCTTTCTAGACGCCTTTAGTGTAGGCGCCCAAATATAATTGAATCAAGTTTACATCGCTTTCAGTGGACAAGAAATATTCTCTCGCTTTGGGTGGTCGTAAAGAAGCCCCTAAGTATATCCTCTTGCAGCTTAAGAGATCCAAGAAAAACAACATTTCGGTTTAATGATACGTCTATCGTAAACAACACAAATTGCAAATTTTACCAAAAATAATGGAACAAGCAGGCTAATACGGAAAAAGATAAAAATTAAGTTAGTACATTTTTCAAGAATCAAGTTAGTTTGTTGCTCTAGCACTTGGCACGTAACTAGAAAGCGACACAGACAGGTAGATATCTGGCGTTGTCTAATAAGTACCACTGAGTCTTACAAAAATTCGTTGCTACATTATGCTACACACTCACTATACTAGGTCCTGATTCTTAATAAAGACGAGCAAGGCTGCCTGCTCGACATGTTATAATCTCTGCGTTTCGAATTTTATCTCCGATATCGTCGTTCGGTGCTCCGCCAGATAGTTGGCTGGCTCCAAGTACAAAACGAGCCGTGTGCCGATGCCCACGTTCGAATCTAGACCACATGTTATAATCTAGTAAAAGTCAACCTTCTTGAATAGCCATGCTACTTTTACGGCTTAACATAAGGTTGAGACAGCACCGTAGGGTGCCGTTTCAACCTATCATAGCATAGGGAGTAACCTCTAACCAGTTCTAACTTACCGATACTCTAGCTTTAACCATTCAGCTCACGGAAACCTTCCCTTGCAGACAAAACTAGACCGTTTCGTCATTACTGCCACCTTATTTCACCGAGGTGGCACATAGGTTTACCCTGTGGTCAATGCTGTCTGCACTGTCGGATGCCAGCCACGGCGCTGGAGATTTCTCGCCACCGGCCATTTTCGGCCACGGCCTACTTTCAGTGATGTCACAATCCGCGTGAAAAACCTAATTTTTAAGTCAACATTAACGAGGAACTACCTGGAGACTACAGAGTACCCTCCGTATGTAATCATAACTTATAAAACGGGATGTGCAAGCGAATATGCGATTCGCGAATATATATATTGTTGTATTGCGAGTACTACCATTAGTTCACGGCCGAACTTGTCTTCTATCCAGCGGTGCCATTCTCTCGTCTGGTCCTCCTTAGGCTAATGCTAAAGATTAAACCCTGCTTACTCTTGACCACCGTATATTCCAGGGTTTTTTGTTGAATAAAATTTTGCAAATTGCTCGTGGAATACACACGTTCTCAACTCTCTTGGGGGTTAATTCACAATACCCTATTTTCACGTTTTCAGTTTTTGGATTATAATTCTGTAATAACTTACATACGAAATGCCAGTTTTTGCCGACAAAACTCTTAGACTTGAAGCTCTGCTACTATGGAAAACCTTCTCAGCATAGGCAATGCGTTCTTTTTCTTCAAGTTCCGATACCTGGTCCCTTCCTCGCTGTTTTTCAATACTTTTCGTTCTTAAACCATTTGCGCCATTCACACGCTCTGGTTCCCTTCAAGTTTTCTTACTGAATGTCTGCACCAATTTTCGATGAACTTTCGAGGAACAAAAGTTTATGGATGACTGCGTATGTTTTCAGTAAGGTTCAGTAACTGACAGTCATGTTAATGAACTGGCCCCCACTCAAGTGGTCAAGGTGCCGGTTTAAATCTAATTTCTTCCACTGATATTATTCAGCGCATGGATAACGAGTGCCGTCGAAATTTCATATCGTACGAATATCTGTTTTTTTTACAAGAGATAATTGGGCTGGTCTTATTTATGATACTTTTTTTCCGTTCACAGTAAAACAGCGGAAGACTTGTGAGGTCAGAAGGATTAGTTTTTTTTTGTCAATTATTAGGGTTCTGTTGTCATTGAACCTATTTCAAATTCAGGTTCATATAATTATACCCTATTGGAGCAAACAATGAAATTAGGTTACTATTTAGCGGAAAAACAATTAACTATACCTGCCAGATATTTCATCCGGGTGAAATCGGATTCTCCTATACACCTCACTCCACCTATTAATAGATAGATCTTATTAGCTATGCGCTGTACTATTGTCGATAATTGTAGCGTGCAAGGAAAGGAACTATTGGTGACAGCTTCATTGTCGATTTATGGGCTTGCCATTCTCGGCGGCTCAGGTGATCTGGTCACAACCCCTGCATCTTCTACCAAAAGCAACCTCAAATCTCTTCGTCACGGCCTTGGGCCAGCAACACAAAGAGACGGGGATTTCGTTCGTGAGCTTCTCATCAGATCCAACATTGGTCAAGCCGAACTTCATTCTTGTCGTCACTGCTTTTTTAGGATGTCTGTTCAAGTCACCGATATGGCCGGAGTTTTAGCAAGTGCTAGAGAAGATGCGTAAGCTTAAGGTAGGTCATTGCGAACTATAGGTCTAACGAAAATATCAACTTAGCTTCGTGGATGCTAAATCAGTAATCAAATTCCAATACGTTCACGTTAACAAGAAAAATCTCTAAAGAACTCAGATTCCTATTCCCGTTTGAATTCTAGCCATAAGTAAATATTAATAAAATGCAAATTACTCAAAGCGTTCGTTAAGAACCTTATGGTGCTCAGTGAAGACTGAACGATCTAGTTTAGAAGCGTTCGTTCAAAAGAAAACCCAGGAAGTTCCTATATATTCATTGCTATTGTTGTTAAATTTAATCTAAGATGATGGACTTCGATTATGGCACGCGAGCCCTACATTACGCGACACCTAACAAATGTGTATTATGAGCGTAGATTTATCCTCAGGCTGGGACGATGAAAACGAAACACATGAGGACTCGATCAAGCCTATCATAGTTATCTTACCTATGGCGTTTAAAAGAGTATTAGTACTTTAGAAACAAACGCCATCTTGGTGGGCGTTCAGATGCAATCTGAGTTTTCCAATTGAATGGTCGACGTATCATTATTTCGATGATAAATTTTCCCAGGCAGGAAGACACTTTTCCCTATTACTGTGTTCAGAATTACAGCTATAGTTCTATGTCAGTTGGAAACAAGAATTTTCCAGCTGATTGGGC